GGGGGGCTAGCTGTGGAGAGTTACTGTCGTCATCGAGGAGCGCGGTTCCGTCCTTTTCCTCCTCGTTGATCCAGAGGTTGTGTCGGAGATCTTCGTGTTCAGTGTCGAGGCCGGTGTCTGCGACGAGGACGGGTGTAGGGGGAAGGGGTGCTTCTGCAATGACGCGCCAGGCCTGGTTCACTTGGAGTTCGCCGAGGTACCATTGGCTGCTGCCAAGGGGGTCTGAGACGGAGACGGGGCGGACGATTGGTTTGATACCACCTGGAGCAGCGTTGGGCGGGATGTGGTGGGCCAGCGTGGTGTGTTGGGCTAAGATGGCGTCAGGGTGGATGGCGTCGACGAAGGGCAGACAGTATAGTTGAATTATGGCCCGCAGCGCCTTGACTGGATTATTAGGCAGCTCTAAGTAGCCCGTACCCAACGCCTCTGACCAGTACAGGTCGCTACGTCGTCCGCTCCATGTTGACGCAACGTCCCGCAAACAACGCGTACTGAACTCACGCACACAACTCGGCGGCTCTTTATACCACGAACATAAATTATCGTTCGCCGTCGCTGCTACCACTTGGTGTACCACTCGCAACGCCGCTTGCAACCAAGCTTGCTGTCCAATTTCTGGGTCTCCACTACGCTCGCCCAAAATAGCTTCCATCGATCGAAACGCGTCCTTACCAAATGCCTCACCGTCTTCAAACAACTTCTGCCAATGCACCTCACCCACACTCAATGGGTTGCTCAACAAAGGCAGCAAATCCATCGTGTCCTTCGCAAACTCCGCACCCTCGTGCAACACCTTGGACCAGTCAATACGCACGTTCTGCGCCTCCACGTAACCCTGCGCCTCCACCACTTCCACAGGCCCCGGCATTGCACCCACTCGTGCCACTCCAGTAACGTTCGCACTCGCCTCCCACTCCCGTGCGCCCGCAGACTCCGGTGCGTCATCTCCCCCTTCGTCCGAAACGCCCTCATCCGAACCCCACAAGATCTCGTTAACCAGCTTCTCCATCTTATTCACTCCATCCGCTATATCGTGAAGCGCCTCCGAAATCCGCCTCCAAGGAACTCGGGGAGACCACGTTTTAGGGAGCGCTTGGACACCTTCTCGAACAGCAGCTGTGGGAGGAGTCTGGGTGTCATTGGGAACGGTAACCGTAGGTACTGTCTGGGTGTCATTCGGAACCTTAACGGTGGGAGGAGTCTGGGTGTCATTGGGAACGGTAATTGTAGCCAAATCCTGAGGCACGGTCTGACCGTTAATG